TTTTATAGATTCTTGGTTGACAGTGCTGAATACGTTTTCTGGAAATGATTTTGCTCTTTAAAAACTCAAACCTGAGGACATTAAACTTTTCCATATTTACTCTATAACCCAACATTTCACTGGTCTTTCTCAATAACCTTTTACCTATATAGCTTTTTTAAAAAGCAAATAGGGTGACCTTATCTGCTGTACCACATGTGCAGCTACATTCTGTAAATGACATTTGTGTGGTGACAGAAAATGTATGTGTGCCGTCCTGAGCAGATTGAATTCCAGGCTGCACCGGTGTAATCCCTAAATCAAACACATGGCAGTCTAGGTAAGCCCTTAACCTCTGGATCAACCATTTCCATCATCTTATTTATTTTTCAAATGCTGTCTCCAATGTTTTTCTGTAACACATGAGGGAACATGTGATACATACTTAGCAGCACTGACTGTGAGGTAGAAACACAACTCTATACCTTTTAGCCCCATTCATTCTGTATGGTCCAGTTGAATTTGACCTATACACAGAAATTACAGCGTTTCGCTGCATGGTGTTGTCACATTCAGCTTTGTGTGTTTTTGTATGTGAAGACGCTCCCTGTTCGTCCTCCCTCTCCCCTTGTCCGATGTGACCCAGTGAGGGTCTGTAACCCAGGGACACTGGGTAACTGTACCGATGTTAAAATAGCAAACATGGCGAACGAAGCGTGTTATGAGATTCGCTAGTTTAACATCTCCCTGGGTTCGGCTATAAATAGCCTCTCACACTGGAATAGAGTTTTCCTCAGCAATGAGGACGAAAGCCAGAGCAACAGCTGCGCTAAAGCCAAGTCCTGTTAGATCAGTGGAGTCACATGTGCATATTTTTGTCTCACTCTCCTGTCTTTCCTCCCCTCTCTCTCTGTCTCTGTCTCTGGTCTCTTGTCTCTCGTTTGCCATTTCTCTTGCTCCTAATCTGCCTCACTGTCTGTCTTCCGTCCCCTTGTTTATCTCCCTGTCCCGCAGTATCTTTGTCTCTCTGTCACTGTCCTCAACCTGTCTGTCTGTCCTGTTTTTGCTCGGTGTCCTGTCTCTCCTGATGTCCTCTAATTTGTGTCCCTCTGCCATTATTCCTATCCCTCTTGCTTTATTGTTCTGTCATTCTATCGTCTTCACTCCATCTGAATCCCACTTTGACTCATTGTCCTTGTTCAGCTCCCACAGCCTCCGCCTCACTGTCCCTGTCCACTACACTTCCTGCTGTCAGTTTCTGTCCTCCTCCCTGTACAGAGTTATATCCGTCTCTCTCTTTCTCATTAGTCCAGGCGTCCCCTGTGTACTCTGTTAATTGGTACAATACTAATATTAACAGTGTTCATGTGTCTCATTATAAAAAGGTTCTCGAAGTAGGAAGATGAATGACGCACAGTTTTAAATAGAAGTTTTAACAGGTGTTACATCTTGCTCTTTTCATTGTAATATAATGGAAAATTACCTCTAAATTACTTCCCATGTAACGATTGTATTTTTATTTATTAAGGTGAAATTGAAATCTTCCCGTTAATAATTTACTTAGAAAAGCAGAATTTCCAGTTAAAAGTCAAGTTAAATTTGCAATATAAATAAAAAAATCACTGGGTCAGAGTTCGTGAAGATAGAACACAATATGTTCGACTGAACTTTTAGAATGAAAATCACCAGTTGTTGGCCTCTGGTAATACATAGGACAACATTGAATTTGTTTAGCACCAAATCACTTCATACATTATCTCTAGGCACTTTATGGAACTGAGTAAATTCATAAATGCACTGAAATGAAACAAGTAATCCATTTCAAATTCCATAGAAAACAATTGAATACAGTGCTAATTGCTGACATTTCATTTTGTTTCATTTGACTCCTTCAGAACGCCATCATTTGCTTTAAACTTTTAACTTTGAAATAGCAGGAGTATGAAATTCGAGTTCTAAATATAAATATATATATAAATCTAAATTACTTTGTCATGGTGTACAGAGTTCCTTTCCTGTCTTGCATGACTTTCTTTTACCTGTCTACCATGTGTACATGAGCATCTTTGGAATCATATTTATCCCCAAAATCTCCACTTCATATCATTTTGTTCCCCTTTGACTTTGGTTAAAAATATGTTTACTGACTCCTGCTGCTGCCTCTCTCCCCCTCTCCCCTCGCCTGTCTCCCTCTGTCCCCCTCCCTGTCTCTCTCTCGGTTTGACATCACAGGTGTATATATATAGCCTTCAGATGGATTCTCCCATGGCCGGCTGCTTCAGTGCTCCTCTCTCTTTCTCTCCCTCTCTCGGCTCAGGCCTACCGCCGGCCACTCAAATGAACTAGAAGCAATTCCTTGTTTACACTGTCTCTTCTGATCTGCTCGACCATCAGTTTGTGACTGCATCCATTATTCATGTGGTCCGCCTCACCGCACACATGCTTGTATGCACACACACACGCGTTATACTGCGACTGAACTGTAACGTCTATTTTCAGGTGTGTGCCACAGAGTACACATCATGCAAAAAATGTGTTTAATGACTTGTATCCTGGAATCCTCTCAAACTAAGCAGTGCTATACTTTCTTTTTGGTGATTCCCTGATGTGATGCAGCTGTCAGTCAGTTGGCAACACTTCCCCACAAAATTGCCGTCACAGGTCTAACGTCTAAAGCATTTACGACACGCATGAAAACAAATCAGGTGGAAACAGTAGCACAAAGGGCTAGAAAGTTATGTTGTGAGCTACTCTGAGATGTGACTTGTGTGACTGACATACATAATACTGTGGTGCACGCGGGGAATTGTGGGTAAGAGGTGACTGTCGGGCACAGACTAGCACATGCCACGCCACCACAACATGCCTGGAGTGCTATGGAGCAGGCACACGGCCGATCAGAGTGAAACCTTAGACATCCCTATGGACGTTGACCCGCATGCATGCACACTTTGCAGAGTATTTGCAGCACATGGCAGGTAAACACAGGTTGTCTTACATTTGTTAGAGGAGTTAATGGATGTTTAGAGTCCTAAAAGTTATATTAATGATAATTAATAACAGTTATCGTAACTTTATTTATATAGCACCTTTTAGAAGAGTTGTGACAAAGCACTTGACACAGAGGACAAATAAAAACAATCATATAAAACCTCACACAACCAGCAAATTTATATCATGTCACAGATTTTTTTTAATGGTCAATTTAAAATATCAATGATCAATCAATTTAAATAGATACAAATCATAGAAAGTAAATGATATAATACAAATCTAAAATCAGTCTTCACATAAAATAGAAAGAGATTTGATAAATTCCTATTCGTTTATTCTTGTCAATTCATTTTATCGTCAAATTATAATCTTACTTTTTGTGGTATTGGTTTTGTCTCTCATACTTACACTACGTTTTAATTTCAAAAATGTTTGGAGAGATCAGTCTTCTTCCATCGTTCATCGCTGTCACCTATAATAAACCAGTGACAGTTGTGTGTCACATTCAAAGTCAAAACCAAATGCTCCAAATCACACTCATGACAGATGCTTTAAAAGTTTGCGAGTCCCCTGAAACACTGAGCTATTTAATGAGTATATAAAGCAGAAGTAAGTGAATTATCCACTGCAGCACCGAGAGGCCCAACGGCAGCAGCAGATAATGATCTTATGACTAAGTCAGGCTTTTTTAGGGCCAGTTTATTGGCATTGTTATGGGGCTGGAATCAAATTAGGAAAATGGCAGCTGTGTCCATGCCATATCATTATGAAATGTAATCCAATTTGACCAGACAATCCTCTTGAAATGGACAGAGCTCTCTCTTGGGCTCATCTGTAATAGCACTGCTCTTTAACACTGCCGAAATACTCAAGTTGCAGTCTGGTTTGTTTTTTTGTGGACACATATTAGTCCCAAAGTTGTTGCTTGGTTTAGTTTCACATTTATTTTTATTACCCCACACAGTTCCTGGAAAGAAATGTGCCAGGTGAAAAACAAAAAAAACAAACCCACTGGTATTTATTTGCGTCATTTTTTGCATTTTATTGAGGGGGGCATCCCCAGAGTAGTGAAGCAACGTGACATTACTAGGAAAGAAATGTCACTTTGTTGACATGGCACACAATCTGTTTTGATGGCTACTTGTCAAGGAGGGACATCGTAAAATCTTTTCCATGCACTGTGTTCGTACCCTGTGGTAATATTAGCCTGCCTCCTTGGAATGGGGCAATCGGCCGTCATCAGAAGGGCTGAAAGTTATTGCAATTCCAGGGATTCTCCGCGGACGGCAGTTGCTGGACTTAGCGCCAAGGTTTTATGAGGCTGAGGGTGACATAAGCAAACCTTTTACTACGTGTTATTGCAGGATTTTGTGGCCTCTGAGGCTGCAGGGAAACCTTCTCATTGGCTTTTTTTGCCATGAGGACGGGAAAGCCGAGTGCCTGCTTGTGTCAAATCAGGAGTGAGGGAACAGCTGGAGAGGAACAGCTGCATGCAGGGACTGTGCCAAGCAAAGCATGTCAATGAACTGCCATGCAACCCTGCTCGCTCAGTCGGACACGAGTGGGAATGCTGAAAGGCCTGAATGGGAACAATAGTCTCACAGTCTCTATCCCGAGGAACAATTAACTGACAGATGCATACAGGGAAAAAATGGCCAGAGAGGCTTAGCATACATTGTGGTGTTACCTAACACACATTCAACATATAGCAGATGGATGCCATCATGGCGTGATGGCAGCACTCGTGGTTGTTTTTCCCCTCAGAGGTTGTAGCTCATCATGAATGTGGACATGCATGAGCTCATGAGTACAAACGCCTCATACGGCCCATATGATCAGTCTTTGCCTCTTGATGATGTTCTTTCAGAAACAGATTTGCCCCATAGCCAGCATCTTTTTCTCCTCACTCTTAAATGCCACTTCATGTTGGCGCCTTCTAATTCTCCCTAAAGCAGACCATGTTCCTGTTCTTTTTTTTAATTCCACATGCTCCATTTCCTAACACAGCTTCTTATTTCTTCTTCCAGGAGGCTCAGAAGGTGAACAACCCCGCCAACAATCAGGCAGCAGACAAGGCGCTAAAGGGTCCTGATGAGAAGGAGGAGGTACCGATCAGTGAGGTGGGATGGATGACTTCGGTCAAAGACTGGGCCGGCGTCATGATCTCGGCTCAGACGCTCACTGGCAGAGTCCTGGTAGGTTTTCCTCATTAATACAGGATATCAAATCCAGACTTGTGCACTTTCTTGGCCACAAATCACTTTTCGTACAATAGAAGATAACTACAGCGGTCAACCAGGTTCCACACCTTAAGTGACTTTCAGATGAATCCACTGCCATGTACACATTAACCCTCCTGTTTTATACAGGTCCCAGTGGAGACTTACCGTAGAGCAATTAATTTCCCACAGAAGCTATAGTGCATGTATCAGTCCTAGCTGAACCTCAGTTGGATATTTGGCTGGCACTGTCCAGCCTTCTCTCTCTCCAATGGCCTTTGTGCAGCAGGCTGTAACTCACTCCGCTGAGCCGCTGCCAGCTGAACCAACCACTGTGTGTATTTGTGTGCGTGCACACGCTTGTGTGTATGTGAGGCGAGAGATTTATTGCGAGAGATGGCATATGTGGTGTTTGTGTAGAAGGTGAGAGGCTGTCACTGTAGCTTTTTTTCCACCTCGGTATGAATTACAGTCCCTCTTCTCTTCTGACCCTCCTTTCTTTAGCTCCATCTCTCACCCTGCCTCCACAATCTCTCCTACACTTTAACAACTTATTTTCTCCCTCTGTTTTTTAGATTCCAACACAGTCCCAGTTTATTCTGTCCTCCTCCCTTCCAGTGCTGCTTCATGCAAGAGCGCCGCTCCGGCGAGATACATTATTAAAATGAAAAACCGTCTCTCCATCAGCAGCATTTCTCGTGTGCTCCTCCTCTCAGCTTAGCAAGATGTCTGCCACTTAGCCCGCTGAGCAGCCGCCAGTTAGCTATGAGCAGCCGGCTGCCTGTAACAGCTAGCCTTGTTCTTTTAACTGCAACGGATTATGAGAGGACTTCACAGTGTTTGATTATAGAACTGGAGTCCACTCAAGTTTTCCATGGTGCATGCATAATATGCACATTATGTGAAATGACACTGACAGCAGCTTTTCTGTGTTTTTATTAGTTCAGTGATTTTCTCAGTGTGATGAGATGTTGAGGGGCTTTGCATCATTTATTTATTTATTTTTTACTTTGAAAACAACCTGACACTATTGAGAAATTCTGGGTGAGGTTTGTGCAAGAAGATTGGAGTGTGCATACATGGTTCTATTTATGGATTGTGGAAGGGAATCTGTAGATGTGAAACATTCTGTTTTATCTAATTTTGTTCTGCCTTCTCTAGCTTGCATCAGAGTTAGTATCACGACCGGTACGTCAGTTTTTCCCACTATGCACTGACATATACTGTGCAGCAGCTGTGGGTATCAGGAGGGTGAGGGATCCAAACTAAAACACTGTCATAGTTAATGTTTGCTGGAAAGTGACAGTCTCTTCATGCCTGCTGAGAATAGCTGGGAGTTGAGAAGAGGATTTGGGCCTTTCATGGAGAAGAAGACGAAGATTTCGGAAGGGAGCTGTCAATTTACTAAATGAGCCTCTCTTTCATCACTTCCCCCTCTCACACAGCTCGGCTGGCATGGACGCGGCTCCCTCTCGCTTTCATCTCCTGCTCTGACTGAGTGCTCCCAAGCTGCCCGTGTACACACACACATATGTGTGTGTGAGTGTGTGTGTGTGTGTGTGTATGTGAGAGAGACAGACCAGCATATGGAAATAGAGTGGGTATGAGACTCTGTGACAAATAAGGGCGGTTGCTTTAAAAAGGGGGTTTCTAGGCATAGAGATATCCCAGCGCATCACCTACTGTGATTTGTGCTACTTGTGGTGGGGCTGATGACTCTGCCCTGCAGGCTGTTTGCCTGCCGGCTGTTAACACAGTCTAATGATATACGGCACAATATGTACTGATTGGGGCTTCTTGCATGTGTTTGTATGTATACATTTGTACATTTATTAGCACAAATATGGTATAATTTCTCCACATATGAGGTACATATACGAAATAGCTTTGTGTGTGTGTGAGAGAGTGTGAGAATGTGTGAGAATGTGTGAGAATGTTTGAGAGTGTGTGAGAGTGTGAGGGACTCTCCCATCAGTGCTTGACTGCAGATCAAAATTCCAATAAGAATGAGGATCGGTGTACACTGAACCTGGCTGGTAACCATAGCAACTGCTGTGTAGTGGTGCTCAGTCATCTGACATTAGGGGGGTGTCTGAGCAGGCACACACACAAACACACACACACACACACACACACACACACACACACACACACACACACACAATTGGCTCAGCTATGATGTGTTGACAGATGTGGCAGATGTGTGTTCCCAGCGTGTAGATGGTTCATCAGTGCTGCTGTCAAAGTTGAAAAGATCTGGAATAAGTGAGTAAAGGCAGTCATGTTGCTTCATGGCAATCTGGAAGATGTGTGTTGTCGATGAAGGAACACTGTGACGCTATCATTTTGTCTGATGTGCATGTTTTTTTAAAGGGCATAGTGGGTAAAGCTACTTATATATGTATTATTATGGCTTCCATAGCTGCTTTCAGACATGTCAGAAAATGTCAGAGTGAGCCCATGTGAGAATACATCCATGTTTTGCATCTTGGGCTGTATCTGTCAAACCTCTCACAACCCCCCCCTCTTTGCATCTCCACACTTGTACCGTACTTTATCGGTGAACCCCTTAATCCACCACAGCTGCTCAACTGTAAATACAGTGAACCCCAGTTATTGTGTGTCTGCCAGTAACTAACGGCCAGTAACCTGTGCTCTGTGAGGATGACATTGTGGGTTGCCCACCATGGTTGCAGTTCCAAGGGGGGTGTTTGGGGGGAGCACAGACCTGGAGAGCAGATCAATGCTGTGAATAGACAATCTCTCTCCCCTCTTTCAGCTATCTTACACACAGAGACACACACACACA